ATACAGTAGAGCCTCGATTATCCGACCCCCGATTAAGCGACACCTCGGTTAACCGACCATCCTAGTCGGCAAATTTCAAATGTCCGCTAGTGATGTGGCGCTACAATATTTGGCTATGTCTTGGCTACTTTAATATTATTTTTACGTGTTTTAGCTGGCAACACTCATTCGATCATGAAAGGGAGCTAGTATTTAAACGAGACTTAATTTTCTAATTTTTAACGATACAATAGCGACGATTATTATTTTAAAAAATGTTTGTTAGGCTTAACATCGATGAAAATTCAACGCAAAGTAGGTTAATAGCGATATACTAATTACATGAGATATACTAATATACTATACTAATAATGTATTTTTTCATATTTTTCGGTTATCCGTTTTTTCAGTTATCTGACCAACCCCAGTCCCCAATTGAGTCGGATAATCGATGCTCTACTGCATTTTATTTAACATTCTGTTTCTACTTATGATTGCTGAAAATGGATAAGAACAATAAAGGATTAAATAAACATTCTGATATTTTCAAGATTTTAAATTAATAATAAAGTTATTTGCTAAAAAAATATGTGGACATTATTTACAGTGTCATTTAACTGGGCAATATTTATTTTTACATTTAAATATCTTATCTGATTATTTGTAGAGCAGATCTTTTAAAATCTACATTACCAAATTTTTAAATTTTAACAATATATTTGAACTAAATATTTTTTTGAATCTTCAAAAGAAACAATAAATTTAATAAAACCAAATGTTTCAGGAACGAACATTCAATGGTCGTAATTATGTAATGGAAGAGTCAATTTTGGGAGATTTTGCTTTAATTAAGGCATGGAAAGCAGATAAAGCTGGAAATTTAATTTTCAGGTAAATTATAAATTTTTGCTACATTTGTAATTTCAAACCATAAACTGTGGAATATGAAATTTTTCAAATATTGAATGTGATATCCAATAAATCAAAATGATGATAATGTTGAGAAAATAGTAAGAGAGAGTATTTTATTAGTTTAGTATAAATTTCATATGTAAATTTTTATATTAAAATTAGAAAAATGTAGAATATAAACTGATGAAACGTTTCTGTGAAAACTGAATTAACTTCATATTTTTAATTAAAGATATTATTTTAAAAATAGTTTTCTTTTTTTATATTAATAAAAAATATATAAATTAATTAAACACTTAAGACTAGTGTGAGAATACAGGTGAGATATGAGAGTTATTCATAACCCTTTTGATCCATCGGGACATTAGGACCCACTCATGCTGTCAGCAGATGGTGAAATTTATAAATTGCTGTTGGGTTTGTAAGATCTTCCGACGTCAGGACCTGACACCAGCTAGGGTAGGAATTCGTGCCCTAACACACGATATTAAGATCTATATTTAAAAGGAGGGGTGTATAATTATCGAGTGGTAAGTTGCGGGTAAGTTCCGATTGTAGGCAGTTCGAATGTCAGTATTCGACCAAGTGAACAGACAGGTTAACAAATAATAAACAAAAGTTTAATGAATAAAAAGTAAAGAAATACATAAAGAAATAATCTATCACTAACTCAATGCCTAATCATGTATATCTCTAAACACAGAGTTTACAAAAGGTTTAATTGTAATAACTCTGGGTCAGTTGATGTAATCCAAATGATATGTGGAGATGTCTTCAAATATGGAAACAGAGGAAGGCTAAAGAGTAGCGAGACGGGACTTCAATGCCTGACTGATTTGGCTATGCGGGAATCTTCTTATGACTATCCTCTTCTTCCTCGGGTCCTCTCCATCAGTGGTCATCCTGGCTATCGTCGTTGGCTCCCTACCACTATGGCAGCTTTTTATTATTGTTAACTGCCCTGAGAATATGATTTCTCTGCTTTTTTTTCCAAATTTCTCTCCAATTGAGTTTTAGTATTCATAACAACTGACAGGATATATTTCTGACGCAAAGGGACAGATGTTCATTGGAGATTTGTGATAACAGCTCACCCAAGGAAAGCTTCCCTTCCCACAAAAATTGGCAAAATGTGTCATTTTTGACATTAAAATGTTACTTTAAATTGTTGATTAATTGAATAAATTTTTAACTGATTAGATAGAATTGTTCTTTACTTGAGAATTCTCACACTGCTCTCTCCTTTTTAAAAATCACACTAACCTTTTTAATTAGTTGATGAAGAAGTAATTTGCACATAGATGATAAACTTTCTCTACTTTCTTACAAAAAAGAAAATTTTTTTTTAATGAAGACAAAGTCTGCCCAAAAGGGACCATTATCTATTTTCTTTGTATTCCAGACAATACACTTTCTTGGTCTTTCTTTTTAAGCTACTTGTTGCCAAAAGCTGAAAATCCTTTTAAAAACACAAAAATATATCCAATTAAAATTACAAGTAATTTCTAAAAAAGGGAATTTGTGACATACAGCGATTTTGCTTACTTCCATCCATACCTTCTTGGGGGCGTTATGGCTTTTATCTACTAGGAACAAGTGCTGGAAAATGTAGATTTTAAGAAAGCTGCCCCCTGGTGATGATATATGTAGAACTTTCATCTGTAAATTTTCGTCCGATGGAGATTATTTTTTTAAAAAAATGAAGACAAAATCTGCCCAGTTGGTCCTTTTTGGGCTGACTTTGTCTTCATTTTTTAAAAAAATAATATAATCTCCATCGGACAAAAATTTACACACAAAAAAATTTTGTTTACAAAAATGTGATACATGNTAAATCTTTGAAGTAGGAATGTGTAATAATAATAAAGTCTGGATTAACATACAGAAAATGAACAAGAGAGAACTAAAGGTGAGGCATACTTACATGTATCTTTGTAGTTTCAGGAAAATTGCAATGATGGATGATGTCTGCAATATGCAAAAGATTTTTCATATTTTCTAAAACTGCTATTGGTGAGTTCAGACAAAGAAAAAGCTGTTGGATGAATTTAATTGCAAGTTTAAATAGACAGATTTTGTATAACTCAGATTTGTTTTCAGATTGACTTTCAAACATAGATAACATGCAGGTTATCAGATGAAATTATGGTAATAACAATAATCTAGATAAGGAACCTTTAAAACGTGTAATTTCTTCTTATATGACTAATCTTGGAAAAAAATTAATTAAACAGAAAAATACATTTTGTTTTTCTTTGTATACAAAAATGTAACATTATCCTTTTATATGCTAAATGAAATTTTAGTTTGTCTAAACTTTTTAAAAAAATCTCAAATTGTTTCTTGTCATCTAAATTATATTGCAATGATTTAATATTTGCAATACTGTATATAAATTTCATTAAATGAAACTGTTTTCCTTGTAGTAATTTTTAAGGCAAGCATAATAAATAAATAACTTAAAAAGCATAATAGGCCTATAAATGTATTCTATCTCTGAAATTCAGTTTATATTAATGACTTATTAATACCACATTTAATTTAATAATGTTAACAAAGATTTTAATTGATTAAAATAATTTCAACTTTTAAAGACTAAAAATTTTCCTGAAACATTCAGAATCTTGTAGAATTATTCTGAAATGTTTTTCAGAATTTTCTAAACTACTTGATAACTAAAAGTTATCAAGTAGTTTAGAAAATATACAGTAGAAACCCAAAATTCTTTGATTTAATGTATTTTTTCACCAGTTTCTTCAAATTTTTACAAACCATAAAGTTAAACAATAAAGTTAAATTTGCAAAATTAAAAGATGCATTTTGCATCTTTTTAATTTTGCAAATTTTCAGGATTAAATGCATCAAAAACTTGATTCCTAGATGAAATTTCACCTCAAATACCAGTTCTCAAAAAAAAAAAAAAATATATCTTGTATTTCATGTTTGGATGATATTGATGAAAATGTATTTCTTTGTGTTTCAAACTTAGAAACTACCATGATGAAAACATATCAAATCCTCAACAGGAAACAAACAACTAATTTATCTTTGATTACTTTCAAAAGACAGCTTTAACAGTTTATCATCTTTATATATCTTTATGTAACAGTTTATCATCTTTATGTCTAGAGCAGTGGTTCCCAATTAGTTTTTCCTGCGTACCACTTCAAGAAAGAGCTCAAACTCGCGTACCCCTTATACCAGAAATTCATATTAATCCATACTAATATTATAAATTCGAAGATAATGCTGCCTGTCTGTCACCTTTTCACGTCTAAACCGCTGAACAGGTTTTAATAAAATTTGGCACATAGATAGCTTACATGTTGGAAATGGACATAGGCTTCATTTTACTGCGAGAAAATATCTTACTCCCACAAGAAAATTCGATATAATGCAGGCGAAGCTGTGGGTAGATAGCTAAAAAATTTTTTTTACATTTATTACCTTTAAAATACAATTCTAATAATAATGAAAATAACATAAGGTTATTTAATTTTAATGCGACAAATGTGCACGATTTTCTTTGCACAACTTTGTAAAATCTGGTTGCTTTTTGGTCAGCTTCAGTCTCGAGTCATCTTCGAGTTGAAGTCGGTGACAATGTTTAGTTATCGTGTTTGTCACGGCCGAAAATCTGCTCTCGCAGAGGTATGTTGTGCAAAATGGTAGTAAATATTTTATTGCCGCTTCGCTGACACGATGATAGTGATAATTGTACAATTAACAAAAAGTGTACAATTAACACAAATTGTGTTAATTGTACACTTTTTGTTTCTTGC